ATTGGAATTAATTTTATTTCACTAGATTATAATGACTCTGTCTGGATGGAGTAAGGATTTGGTAAAAGTAGAAAAGCTGCAGAGAGGTGTGTGAAGTTACGACTCTGATTCCTGGTCTGCACCCTGGCTGGTCAGTGTTTTGGAAGACTAACAAATTTGGCCAGATTCCTTGGAAGAAGACCTGCACCATCCAGAGTGGAATAGATCCCATGTCTCCAAATCATCTATTTTTAATAAGCTGAGAAGAAGCACGTGTTGTGAACAGTTGAAGAGATCTGTGAATTGCAAAGCCGGAAAACGGCCGAAAACAAGCGAAATGAGTCAGCTGACTGTAAATAGGAGCTGACGAAGTCTGCTCATGCACTCTTTGAGAACTAAGCCACAGATGAACCTTGCTGAGCTCTACTGTTGGCCAGTTCTACAGTAGATTTAGCACGTTTTGCTTGTTTCTGGCACGGTCCAGTTCAGTTGCGTTCCAGTTTCACTCAACAGTTATCTTGGTTACTGTGCTCTGAGAAAAGGTATTGTAAATGGTGTATTAGTCAGCTAGCTGAATAAAACAAAGTAAAAAAGTGGATTTATTTTTTTTTGTTGGTTTCAATTATTTATACCAGCTGCTTTTTCTTAACATCCAGGTACAACAGAGTCTATCACTCAGAGCTACGCTGCGTGACTGTTGATGTTGGCCGCCATGGTGAGTGAATCAAAAAGTCAGCTTGTAAACTATGTTAATAATTATAATAATTGAACTTTATTGATTCCAAACTGGAGAAATTCCATCTTGGCATTTAACCTATCAAGTTGGGGAGCAGAGGGCTGTCACTGTGCAGTGCCCGGGTAGCAGTGTGGGCTTAAAGGTCTTGCTCCAGAACCCAGAGCGGCAGTCTGTTGCCAATGCTCCCACCATAAGGCCACCACTCCCCCTATATTGCTGTTTTCCAATTTAATTATTATTCAAGGAGTTTAACCACTTCTTTAAAAATGTTTTACAGACATTTATGAGATTAAAATGGCCCACGCTGTCTAAAAACAANATAATTATATATGCCAAGATGTAAAAATACAAGCTTGAATAATTTCTTTTTTAACTTGCATGAGTTATTTCTTTGTTTTATTGATATTAAATCAGCATTAACTCCATCCTAAATCAACTGGTAGAATTAATTGATGTTAGCATAATTAGATAATATGCACTCTGATGAGACAATGTAATTTTTTTCTTGTTTTGGAATGTAAATTGTTCTGTTCTATTGGCAAATTGTTTCACTTACCTCCTCAATTCAAGAAAAAAATCCCTTAGTTTAAGAAAGAAATTACTTATTGAGATTTTTATCTTTTGCAGCATCCTCCCAGTTAACTGCACTATTGTCCTAACTTTTTTTTTTTTTGCTGATGATCTACTCCATATTGTGATTGGAGTAGACAGAGTGAATGACGGCTGTTTAGAAGATGACCTGCAGATAATGTGGACAGTTCTAGTTCTAGATCCATAAATACAGTCTTGTTTGGCACCAGATGGCGCTATTGGACCAACTGATTCATTCTATCTCTATGTGAACTAGTGACTCTCTATTAGATTAAAGACAGTAGTGTTATCTGCCAACTTAAGGAGTTACAGACAGAGCATATCAGTACAATATTTTTGCATCCCTCATGCCTTTAGCCTTGATTGTAGTTA